ATATCAAAAGTTGACATATGATACGTCATTCTATTCAGAATATCATTTTCTATCGAATAAAGTAAAAATATACCGGGGGTGCCATTTAAAAATCAAAAGTTGTAGTCATTTCCGGTGAAACAGGAAGTGACCAAAAACAATTGAATGCGTCAATCAATCCCAATTCATGTCATATACTAGTATACCATTCTCGTTATTTTATCTGAAAAAATAAAAAAGTTATAGGGGGTGAGCCACTTTTGAGACGGACCCGGTAGACTTTATAGTCATATGTCCTTTTCGCATTTTCGGACATTTTAAGCTTCCTTTTCTTAAGGTCCTCAGGATATTAAAATTATGTCGAAACACCTTGTATATTTTACAATATATCGCTCTATAACATTTATAAAATTATGAAAAATTTCACTCATTATTGCACACACAATAACAGTTAGTTAATAATTATAACTTCAAATTACTATTATTTCATACCCGATGTTCACTTTCAAATAATAATATAGTTCATCGTACTTTTCAATATTTTTATACAGAGTGATCGAGTTTTCGGAATTATATTAAAAATATTATTATAAACTGTATCTCCAATTTTATTTTAGAAAATATGCCTACATTTTATAATCATTTTCATAGACATATACAGAGTGATTTAAATCATATTTGAAAAGGACACTTTTAGAAAATACCTACTATCTAATTAAAAAAAACATTAATTAGTTTCTATTTGATTTCTTAAAGGATTAAATGTAGGTATAGTTATAGTAATCGATGGACTTTAAAATCCACTAGATAATATAGCCCTTGTATATACAGTACGTCTGTCCGTTCTATAGCTACGGGGTATCGGTGAGAGGGGAAACGATATTCTCTCGATGTTTTTCGTAAAAAATTAGACGACGCGTCTCATCAGTAAAAATTCGACAAATTTGCAAGTAGCCAATGAAATGAGTGGGCGGAGCGATTTGCAGTGACGTACTCGTCAAGTCGACGAATAAAATATATTGTTGTTTATTTAAATGTTTTTTGTCCGCATTCCTTTCATAGACACAGATCCAGCAGATGTACTGTACACTCTGTACAGTACGTCTGTCCGTTCTGTGGCTACGGGGTATCCGTGAGAGGGGAAACGATATTCTCTCGATGTTTTTCGTAAAAAAATAGACAACGCGTTCCATCAATAAAAATTCTACAATTTTGCAAGTAGCCAATAAAATGAGTGGGCGGAGCGATTTGCGGTGACGTCTCGTCAAGTCGACGTATAAAATATATTGCTGTTTATTTAAATGTTTTTTGTTCGCATTCCTTTCATAGACACATATCCAGCAGATGTACTGTAGCTATGTTATAATATATAGATACTTTTGCACATTGAACGTTCCATTAAAAAGAAAACTACAGTTCGTTTGCTGGATCTGTGTCTATGAAAGGAATGCGGACAAAAAACATTTAAATAAACAGCAATATATTTTATACGTCGACTTGACGAGTACGTCACCGCAAATCGCTCCGCCCACTCCACCCATTATTATAGATTCTCGGGAATGAAGATATAGTCTCTATATCAGAACCTAGTTCTGCACTAGACTGCGAATGATATGTATGCGAACAGCGAATTTTTGTCACTTACACATAAATTTTAAAAATAAATCCCCGCGTTTAGCAGTCTAATGGATTCACACGAAATTACTTCAAAAATCGGTTCAACATTTAAATTGATGAATAGATATTTTATATACTCGTAGTTTTATAAAATTTACAATTGATTTATTATGCTACTTGCAAATTCGTTATTCGTTCGTCATTATTTGCTACTTGCAAATTCGTCGAATTTTTATTGATGGGACGCGTCGTCTAATTTTTTACGAAAAACATCGAGAGAATATCGTTTCCCCGTAGCGACAGAACGGACAGACGTACTGTACAAGTAGTGTAAATATATAAGTGATACCAATTAAACTTTTAGTTACGTAATCGAGGGCGCGATTTTTAAATTCATTGTTGCCAAGCATGGACATATTTGGCGCCGGGCTGACTTTTGAACTGGAATTTAAATTTTCTGCTGGGGATCCAGGTGGTAGCTTTGCTGTAAAAGCTGTCAAGTTGCCACATTTATGTATTTATTTCCTGACATTGTCATTTATTTTGACACTTTAGTTTTGTATTATGAATTTCTGGTTTAAATAAATTTTGTTGTGATACTTTAAGCTTAAAATTTTTTTGACTAGCAGACTTTACAATCGAACATTGTTCTTTTTAGAACTCTTTTAGTGCGAAGTGTACAAAGTAGCTTAATACTGCCAAAAAACTCATTGCAAACTTATTAGAATATTTTGAACGGGAAAGCGTTAGTAATGGCCCTTTATGTCCCTTAAGTGCTGTTAAGTAGGTGAGTTTTGTTGGTGTAAATAATAACTGTTTATATGTTTATAACTAATTTTTTTTTGGTACCTAAAATATTTTAATTAAAAGAAAATATGTAAAAGTGGACAACGCTGTGCTGGTTAAGCTGATCTATGAAAGAAATTTTCAAGCGGAGCTTTTTCAGAATACCGGGTCATCCTGTAAGTATAGTTAACATCATAATAATTTTTTTTGCTAGAGTAGCCTTGATGAAACCCCAATCCCCAATACAGCACCAACTACATAATAATATGATTTCTTTACAATGTTTTGCCATCTTCATTGCATTCACAAATAATTGCTACATTTTGAAACTTCCTCTCTATTATGTTATTAAGATTTTCTTATGCTTAAAGGTATAGTTTACGTTTAATGAAAAAAAATCAATTCTAAATGCATTTTAATTATAGGATTAAAAGGATAAATGTATAATGTACGTAACTGCAAATGTTTGATAAAAAATGGGAGAATGTAATACGTACTTAATAATACCTTAGATTAAGAATACATAACTATCGAGATTGTTTCACTTTTACTTTCATTCTCGATTTGTTACTTTTACCTGCATTAAAATTATATTTTCTGTAACAAAATTCTTTTTCTATTTAATTTATGCAAAAGAGCGAAAGAAAATAATAATAAATGTCGAATTCAAAGCTTTGTCTTGTTAACTCGAATATTTGTTAACAATTAAAGAAAATTAAACGTATATCTTTTTCTATTTTAGCAGTAAATATAATTAACATGAATATATGGAATATTTAAAATATTAAAATTTATTCTTCTATAATTAATTAAATTAAAAACACATGAAAGGCCATAGCTAAATGTGAAATACGCCTACTGAGTTCTTCAAAAATGTTTATAAAAATACATCATTTCAACTATTTTAGTAGGAGGTCTGTCGACGTAAGAAATATACAGGTTGAGTTTTAAATAAGTACAAATATTTTCATTGCTAGTAGATTTCGATAAAAGGAACACATTGTTTTTTTCTTTACCGTTTCTCAAATAAATCCAAAATGGCCGAGTTATTTTACTTTGTAAATTTCCAAAAAAATATTTTTTGCTTAAATTTTGAGAACCACTGGATCTATTCTGAATTTTCTTTCTTGTAAATTTAATCTACTACCTATGTTGTCATATTATCAAGTTATTATATATGTTCTTTCAATTCTTTCTCCATTTAAGGGACTCTCTATCTCCAGTAGTTTCGGAAGTATCCATAGAGAACATCGCAGAAAACTCATCCTGTATATATCCTATATAAAATTGACACAAAACGTTTTCAAAATTTAATATTTAGATAGTAAAAACATATCTTCAAAATATAGTTTCACTGAACAGATCAGAATAAACAAAAAAGCTAATATTTCTAACTTACGTTTAAAAAAAGGCGTTAGAGATGACACGGAAATGAAGACTGCTGTCAATGGGTATTGTCATCGATCGTCATTTTTAAGTTAACTGAACGCCTTTCTTCCTACGTCTTATGGTATTTTTGGTCTTATTTTTAATCAATGGCGTTTGAACTGGCATTTTATGAATTATTTTAATAAAACATGTTATAAATATATAGATACCGATCGATTGCGTCAAATTGGCTTTGCAAAATACGATCGATGACATTCACCATACAATTTTATATACAGGTTGTTAAGTTGTTTATTATTCACGGCAAGAGCTTCATGGTTAAAATATGGCAACCTCGGCCCGCTCGTCGATAGAGGACGCGACGGGACGAGTCGGCAGAAAACCCTATAAGTGCATGCCGTTCTCAATAGGCAGTGTTGCCATTCTGTTCCCCTATAAGTAACTGTCCACTTAACAACCTGTATATATGAAATGACAGCGATCATCATTTCCAAGCCAACTCACTTTTTTTGGATCGTATGGTATGTTTGTATATGCTTGCTGTAAATTATATATTTTGAAGACTAGCAAAACAGTGTTAATTGCATATTGTTACTTCATTGTTAGCAATAAACGATAAAATGTACCATGACAAAAAAGAAAGAAAAAGTATTTAAACACAATCTTTTCAAAAATATATTTTTGATTTACATTGTAGTTTTAACATTTCCATATGAAAATATATAAAATATTTTAAATTGTTTCCTTATATTATTTTATAATTAAACTAAAAACTTGATCTAATAAATATTTTTTTTCATCTATGAACTAGAATTATATACTGGTTTCATTCATACTTATAACCTTATAAATACATAATACAGAGACATATAAAATTATTGTAGGTATCTTAGAATATACATACATATATCTTTACATTGGCTATAATGACTTAATATTATGAATAAAAGGATTATTTGCATTTCTTATAAAAATATGAAATACTCTGTGACTAGGTCTGCGATTGGTTTAGAAAATATATTATTTAGTTACTTAGTTTAGAAGAGTCGAGAGTCGAGGCTTCTGTGGTAAACTGTAAATACATATAAACTACAACAACTAAATTTTAATTAAATAAATTAAAAATGTATAATGCAATTTATTTCACGAACTTCGTACTATCAATCAGATAAACTCCAAATGTTTGCAAATTATATTATGTGAAACTCTGCTTTAAAATATTCATTTACTCAGGTCTTTCAGTTACTTTAAACTTCAATTCACCGTCAGGGGCGTACATAAAGGTAACTTTATATTCCAATGGGTCGTGAAGGTACTCCAGTTTATATGATCTAATCAGCTAAAAAAAAGAGCTAAGTTAATTATATATGACATAAATTGCCTGGGTACTTACTTTAGCTAAAAGTACTTGTATTTCCAAATCAGCAAAGCGCCTGCCCAGGCACATTCGGGCTCCGTAACCATATGGTAGAGACGCAAATGGGTGAATTTTCTCTTGACCAGAGCTTTTCATCCACCTTTCGGGCATAAATTGATCTGGTTGGGATACGTATTCTCCCATACTGCCAGTGACCAAAGTTGGAAACACCACTTGAACCTGAAATATATTTTTAACTGCTTTTAACTACACTATACAGGGTCCGGCAATAGTGTGTCGGGTACCATACGCACTATTGTGCCCGACGTACTATTGCCGGACCCTGTATGTCCTATAAATATCAAATTAATATATTTTACGGCCGGTTAAAAAATAGACTTACCCCTTTAGGAACTTTGTAACCTAGGATAATAGTATCTTCCTGCAGTGTTCTTCCATTTCCAATCACAGTAGAGTACATTCTAAAAAAACATTATTCATAAAAATAATTATATTCAAATTTTTAAAATTTTCTTCAAGAAGATTACAATAAAACAATAGGCCCTATTCTGTATTTGGCCTGTGAATCATACCTAAAAACTTCTTTTACGAATGCTTTTAAAAACGCAAGCTGATTTAATTTTTCTGTAGTCAAAGGTTCATTTTTATCTGGGAAAACTTGTTTTAGCTCTTCGTACAGTTTCTCTTGTTGTTCAGGCCGAGTAGCTAATTGGTATAGAATTGAACAAACCGCCATAGATATCTAAAATAAATAATCTTATATTCTATATCGAACAAAGATATATTAATACTAAAAAATATTCAATTTGATAAGTATAATAAGACTGTTGTTTTTTATTTATTTATCTTTTCTAATAGTAGTATATTCAGGTTTCTAGTTTCTATAGGCTTGGTGCATTTCAGTTGATTTCAAAAAATTCCGATCGCAGCACTCGAACGGTAGAAATCAAAAGTTTTTGTTCTGTATTTGACGCCGTCCCGGTTGCTGTTCATGTTGATCGGATTAAAATAATATTGAAATCGTGGCTTAGTGATAATATTTAAGTAATTTAGTTTTTTGCTAGTGCAGTTTTACTGAAACTATAAAACACTCAGATACACGGGTTTAAATAGCGAGTATAGAAAAAAAAATATAATTATTCTAAAAGTGTTAGGAAGTATAATTTGTTTAAGAATTGTAATTATTAAGAATTCATTGTGCGTAATTGTTTAAGAACTCATTGTGCATCTATTTTAATATTTTTGAATTATTGTGAACTTGTAAACTTGTTTGTAATAAATATTTTTATTATTTTATTATTATTAATCGAGGTTTGTGTGATGTAACGCTGTTTCGGGCAGTAAAAATTAAGTGAAAAAGAACTGAAACTGGATGTCGCGTTGTGTTGTGACAATTTCAAATTTAAAAAAATTGACGAAAAAATATTAACGTGTAAAGGAGGGTGTAATTACTTGGTTGTCGCAATAACATTCAATAACTCAAATTTCCCGGATATTCAACTCTTCCGAAACAACATTTTATAGTTTCTCAGTTTCTCACACCGGTTTGATCAAAAGCAAAAATGGATTCAAGCAGTTCGACGAAACAAGTGAATAAACAAAATATCCATTACACAATCAAAAAATTAAATAGACATATACTACGAGAGGATAAAATGTACTTTGCAATATTAAGGTACACTCTTTTTTTTAATCAACTAGAGCTTAAATTTTTGATGAATATCTTCTAAAATCATAATTATGTAACTAAAAAAATTTCGTTATAGCCGAAATAGCGTAAGTTATGTCCCCACTAGCAAAACCTGTGCGTAAAACTATGCTCGCTACCGTAGTTAAACTAGGTGATCAATAATAAATTATAATACAAGTTAGACCTTCTGAAAATATCGAAATATTTTATTTTAGAATTTTCACAAATTACACTTTGTTTGCCATATTCTCTGATGGTGGCAGCACCGGCGGAGAAGGCCAAGACTATAATAGTATATTCTAATTTTGTTATTTAGGCATCAATTTATATGCTAATAAAAATCATACTTACGGTATCGATCCCTACTAATATCAAATCTAACGCTAAAATATAGGCAGTTTTGGGGTCAGGTTCGTTAGCTAATATTCTCTCTACCAATGACAAATCTCTTTCATCTTTAACTATTTTATCCTTTAGTCTTTCCATGGCTGCATCAATGTGTTTCATGCATATTCTACAATAAAAATAAATGTCGATATTCAGTTAACAATATTCGTCAAAACAGAGTAGTAAAAGATTGATTTTGGACATGAAACAGCATATTGGTCACGGGCATTAATGACATCACATACTTATGATTGATGTTGAACCTTTCCTTTTTTCTATTTAATATCCTCTGCAGAGTAATGTGTCATTTAGTTTTATTTTGTGATGGTTTCTATATGGTTTCTATAGAGCTGGGGCGATATCCGATTAGAATTTGAATTAAAATTCAAGGACCGCTTCTGGACTTTACCAAAAATGTCATTGCAGGCCCTTTTTGGCCCACTTGCAACAACTACTACTTTATTTCAATACTTCTTGAAGATTTATACATAAGCTGACTGTCTTTTTAACCAGTCTGTGAGAATCTTTTCATCTCGTAGCAATGAAAACGTTGTACCGTGTACCCTATTAAAAATAAGGGCTATTGAATGTCTAAAATCAATATTTTTTTAATGAAAAAATATTGATTTACTTCCAAACATACAGATTGTTTTCTAACTAAGGAAGTAATTTCTCAGACTATGTTAACAAAAAAATGTTAAACGTATATCCACAGGGTGTAAATTTGGAGCTACTAGTTGTAAAAAATATAGAAAAAAAGATCAAAATTTAAACAATTACCAAACTCTTTTATATAATTCTAAGGTTCCATACACAATGCCACATCATAAAAAATAAAAATAATAAATTTTGTACAAAAAATAATAAGAATTTGGTGTGGGCCACCCTTATCACTTAAAGGTATAAAAACTAGAAAAAATAGATAGCAACCTATTCTCAGACCTACTGAATATACATATAAAATTTGATCAAAATCGGTCAAGCTGTTTAACTAAAACGGCGACACCAGAATTTTATACCGGGTGCGTCTCAAAAGTGGCTCACCCCTATAACTTTTTTATTTTTTCAGATAAAAAAACGAGATTTCGTATGTTCGTATATGACATAAATTGGGATTGATTGACACATTCAACTGTTTTTGTTCACTTCCTGTTTCACCGGAAATGACTACAACTTTTGATTTTTAAATGGCACCCCCGGTATATCTTTACTTTATTCGATAGAAAATTAAATTCTGAATAGAATGACATATCGTATGTCAACTTTTGACATTCTCGCTTAATAAAAAATTGTATTTTAAATTTGAATCTAGAGTGCCAATGTCTATGTTAAAAACACTAATTCTTAATTAAGGAGCCTTGGAAAAATAGATTTAATCGTCTAATGTTTTAGTGTCTTGTCCTGGCCGGTTAAAAAATGCTCAAATCGTATTTTTAATCATATCTCAATTTTTTCTAACGGAACGAGAGTGGCTCATTAGCATATTTGGAAAAAGTATTTTTTTACGAATAATTTGATTACAAACTTAGTAATTTGAGTCAAATTTTCGTTACGAACCGCAAGTTATAATTTCAAATAAACCATATGCGAAAATGTCAAAAGTCAAATCGTACTTTGGTACCGCACACTTGGTATTTCGAGTCAAGTTGTCGTTATGAACCGCAGTTACAATTTCAAATAAACCAGATGCGAAAACGTCAAAAGCTGATATATGACATTTCATTCTATTCAGAGTGTTATTTTCTATCGAAAAAAGTAAAAAAATACTGAGGGTGCCATTTAAAAATCAAAAGTTGTAGTCATTTCCGGTGAAACAGGAAGTGACCAAAAACAATTGAATATGTCAATCAATCCTAATTTATGTCATATACTAACATACCAAATCTCGTTTTTTATCTGAAAAAATAAAAAAGTTATATGGGTTAGCCACTTTTGAGACGCACCCGGTATATTAGATTTGATAAATCAAAACCAATAACACTTAATAGGTTTTGCCTCAGTTCAAAAAACACCCTGTATGAATCAATTGAATTTAAAAATAATACATACTCGACAAAATAGTCCATATTTTTCACGTATCTAGTCCATAAAGATGTGGGGAAATATCTCCAAAAGGGAAATCTCAATTCCAAAATTGCTATATTTCTAAGCGCATATTTTGCCGCATCTATTATTTTTAGAGCCTCGGAGTCAGTTGATAAACTTGATTCTAAACAACCTAATCGGACGTCTAGGGAGACTCTACCAATACCTGTAAAATAAAAAAATATGTCTTAATATACAGGGTGTTAATAACTAAGGACAAAAAATAGATGATCGCTATTATTATGTATGCTAATATAAGAATTTTCTTTTCTATTTTTATAATTCTTTTTATTATTTGATGGTGTTATTCAAAAATTGACTTTAGTAAAATACAATAATTGAAATACTCTAGTAAAACCAGTGGCGGACTAAGCCTGTCGGGGGCCAGGGGCGGCGAAGCTAAATGTGGCCCCCGGTCTGTTTAGATAATTATACAGGGTGTTTCAAAACAAATGCGAAAAACTTTAGGGGGTGATTCCTTGTTCAAAATAAAGGGTAGTTTGCTTTATAAACGTTGGGTCAAAAGTCAACCATTAGGGAGATATCGGGGTACAAAGATGGCGGAAAAATAATGTTTTTATTTTTTATCTTGAAAACGAAAAGAGATAGACTAATGAAATTTTATGGAAGCATTACTGTTATGAAAACACACTTTCAGGTATTTGTTTACTTTTAAAATGAGTGGAAGGGGTTGAAATAAACTACCCCTATCATTCTTGTTAACGAAATTTAAAGAAAAATATTATCAAACACATGCAAATGCTTTAATTTGGATAGCTTAGTTTGTTTAGAAACTTTTTTACCTCTTGTGTTTTTTTGATAAAACTCACCGATTGGAAATTAAAAAATAAAATGTAAAGCATTACATGTCAGGACAAAAAACATTTTTGGATTAAGAATCTAGTGATAATAACGATAATAATAATCATCTAGATAGTAACGTATTGCAGTAGAGTAATTTCAAATAAAATAATATTAGGAACATCCTAAAAAGTAACAGCGGCCGGCTAGATTTTTTCCTAAAAAAATTACAGCAGCCCACTAGATTCTTTATCAGAAAATGTTTTTTGTCCTGAAATGTAATGCTTTACATTTTATTTTTTAATTTCAAATCGGTGAGTTTTATCAAAAAAATACAAGAGATAAAAAAGTTTCTAAACAAACTAAACTATCCAAATTAATTTTTTTGCATGTGTTTGATAAGATTTTTCTTTAAATTTCGTTAACAAGAATTATAGGGGTAGTTTATTTCAACTCCTTCCACTCATTTTAAAAAAGTGAATAAATTACCAGAAAGTGTGTTTTCATAACAGTAATGCTTCCATAAAATTTTATTAGTCTATCTCTTTTCGTTTTCAAGATAAAAAATAAAAACATTATTTTTCCGCCATCTTTGTACCGCAATATCTCCCTAATGGTTCACTTTTGGCCCAACGTTTATGAAGCAAACTACCCTTTATTTTGAACAAGGAATCACACCCTGAAGTTTTTCGCATTTGTTTTGAAGCACCCTGTATACTTCTAATGCACATTTTGTAAAAACTGAATGGCGTATGTATAATGGTTGACAAAATTCAAGTATTTATATAGGGTGTCCCAGGCTGAGCCTGCGCTAGAAGTTTCTAGAGAACTACAATATCTAGATATGAGATTTTGTGCATATCATTGTTTCACAATGAGATCTGTCGATTAAAAATATTTTCAATATAGCGGCACTTTCGGAAGTACTGGAAGTTGACAGCAACTTTCTTATTTTAAATGGGTGACCCCATTTTTTATTATATACTTAAATTCTCTGTAAAATTTTATGAATTTTGATTATTAACACTTTATACCTAAAACAAAAACAAATTATTAAATTAAACACTCAATTAAATTAAACACTCTATACCTAACGTTAACTGTTTTTTTTCGATCGTACGGTATATTATTAAAATATCAACTATTAGATATCACTACAACACAAAACGAAAATTCGAGATATATTTATATAAATACACTTTTTAAACTTTTAAGGCAGCAGTAGTTATAATATAGGAAATTCAAATAATTCATTTTCTGACAGATCGAAATCATATCGAAATAAATTGTCTGACTGTTTGACACTTAATGTCAAAGGAAGCTAGACAAAATCAAGAAAAACATACGTTTTCAAACTAAATCTTAAATAACTTAAAAACGATTTATTCTAGGTATAGGAATATGTTTAGTTAAAATGTAACTAATTGGAAAACCTTTTCACTAGTGAAGTAAAAAAGTGGGTTTCCATTTGAAAAAAAATTATTTATGATAATTTTTTAATCGCACAATTCCATAACAGCTACCGCCATTATTATATGACATTTGAACAATTTAATTTTTGAAATAGATATATAGCCACACGTCTTTTTTTATGTCACAGGGGCTGTGATAATCACTAAATTTGACTTTTAGGCTGTACAATTTTTTTACAGGTATTTTTCGTCCAAAAATTTTAAATATTTTTTTCTTAAAAATGCTTCCAGGGAAATACCGTGACAAAATATCGCGATTATGTAAGTCCTCCAAGATCCGAGGGACCCCTTCGCTGTCTCAGACCCGTGGCCCCCGTTATACTAAAGACTTCACTGTTCGTCATCAGTAATGAAGCTAGAATACAAGTTATGCTGTGCATTGGTTGTAATTTAAAATGTTTATTCAGTAAAAATAAATAATGAAACCATTGAAAAATAACTTAAAAGCTAAAATAAATAAATTCAGTCTCAAAATATATAAAAAATAATAATTATTCGATATTTTAAACAAAAAAAATTACCCCTTGATATAATTTCCTAAACAGAAAATGCCATTGACAATTACTGGGGCCTGATAATTGATAATTAAGTAAATATCTGTTTATAGTTGGCGTATAGGTACTTATGGTTTGCATACTCCACCTACAAACTGGTTTATAACTACTGAATACATATTGGCATTTTTTATTTGTTTGCCAGTTGAATAAAGGAGGCCCCCTAAAAGAGGGTGCCCGGGGCGGACCGCCCCTTCCGCCCCCCCCCCCTTAGTCAACCACTGAGTAAAACTTATTGAGTACTAATTCTATGACATAATTCTATAGCTAATATGCTATTTCTATATATTTAACGCATTATTAATACATTACATTCCAAGGCCCACTTGTGTATTTCATTGTCAAAGTCTGAAGGCATCTCGTCATTAGCGTCTTTTATGACCATCATCCTAAAACATTTCGCAATAAAATTTGCTTTGTTTATACACATAACATCTATTTTAAACTACACAAACCTTGAAAGAAAATCGTTGGTGACATTTTCTATGGGCTCTACATATTTTCTCACCGTTTGAAGTTGTAGAATTGGTTTCTGAACTTTTGTTCTGAACGATTTCCATGGCTCACCATGTCTAAAATTTATTTAACAGTAGAACTAAAATAAATACCTATTAGGGTTTTATCTACTTACACTCCTACAACACCGCCCTCTACTCCAAAAAAGTCTTTTCTAACTTCACTTTTGTATTTTACCAAACAAGGCATAGAGGGTCTAAATGGAGTTGGACCTTCATTCCTATAATAACAGATTTATAAATTTTTATTAATGCTATAGGTACCATGTGATCAAAAAGTTTTAGGATCAAGATAATTAGAATATTTGGTAATTTACATTAAGAATCAGTGGCGTAGCGTGGCGTCATTGGCAATTAATATTTTACCAGTACAATAAAGTTTTTTATAGTTCTTCTTTAGTCTTTAATTTTTACTCTTTATCACATCATCTTAATCACCCGCAGCAATGAAAGCTTTGCCGCTGTTAAAAATATGTTTCTCTCATAATACAAAGCACCAGTGGCGGACTAAACCTGTTGGGGGCCCGGGGCGGCAAAGCTAAATGTGGCCCCCGGTCTGCACATTTTGTAAAGATTGAATGACGTATGAATAATGGTTGATAATTTTCAAGTATTTATATACTGTACTAATTGTAATAAAAATCGATATATATACAGGGTGTCACAGAAATAAGTGCAAGTATTTTAAGGGGTGGTAGATAAAAAAACCATATTTTTTCTTTATCGTTTTTCAAATAAATCCAAAATAACGGAGTTATTTTACTTTGAAAATATACAAATACAAAAATTTTGCTCTTGTAAATTTGTTCTGGTAAATTTAATCTACTACCTATGTTGTCATATTAACAAGAAATTATGTTTTTTAACTAAAAACTAAAAAAATTCCCGAAGTTTTCAATTGTTTTTTCGCGAAAAAAGCCTCATAGGCGTGTTCCTGGGGTTGAACTATATTACCATAAAATACTTGTACTTATTTCTGGGACACCCTGTATATTACAGTCAGTATGTCCCCGGATTGTCTTTACAAGAGGAAATTTTTTTGAAACTTTTCTTTTTGAAAAAAATGCGTTCATAAGAATTTTTGCTTGTTTTAAAATGGCGTTTATAATTTTCTAAATATCCATACCGTTTTAGAAAAAATAAAAAAAAACATAAAATGTAGTTTTTTAATGTAATTTTTCCCCAAAAAAAATCCTAAAAAAACTAAAAGTCCTAAAAATGAAAACGCTATGGTAATATAATTTTGATTTCATTTTTTGATAGATCGTTATAATTTATTTTGATTAACGTCATATTTTTTGATGTTAAAGTATCACATTTTCCGATAACTATTATCACCCTTTCCGTAGCATTGAACTAAATAAATTTTTTGCTTCTTTAACAATTTAAAACAGCAAAAAATATAACTTTAATTAAAATTCTGTCAATAATAATCATCAAAAAATTATCACGAAGTTATATTACCATAGAAAGGCGTTTTATTTTTACTAGTTCAAAAATTCAACTACATTTTCATGTTTTTCTTATTTTTCTCTAAAACGGTATGGAAATTTGGAAAAGTATAAACAGGAATTACCATTTTAGAACAAGCAAAAATTTTATGAAGACAATCCGCGGACATACTGTAGATATAAATATGTTATTCATCGGCAGTGCCATTTTTACGTAGGGACCCGACGCGCGACGGGCCCCGACCAAAGAATTAAGGGCCCCCTTGAGGTCCCCAGCTTCAAAAAGGTATCAAAAAGGATAACATCATTTTTTTAAAGCTTGTAATAATACATTTAAATTGAAAAACGAATGCAATTTGACGTAATAAAACAAACCCCCAGCGAATGTTTACATATATTTAATGGCAATTTATGATGACAAAGTGATGGGAATACCGGTTCCACATATAAGCCGCGTTACTTTCGCGACCGTTCCGCGATTTTGTAAGGGGCCCCTTACAAAATCGCGGTATACTCCTATATAGGTCCAAGAATAAATAATAATTATTCGAATATAAAAAATAATAATTATTCGATATTCTAAACAAAGAAAATTACCCCTTGATTTAATTTCGTAAATAGAAAAATTCCATTGACAATTACTGGGGCCTAATAATTGATAATTAAGTAAATATCTGCTTCCATTTATACTGTGTTTAGTTTGCGTATACTTATGGTTTGCATACTCTAACTACAAATTGCTTTATAACTACTGAACACATAGTGGCCTGTTTGCCAGTTGAATAAAAAATTACTTATTAAGATTTGGAGGCCCCCTAGAAGAAGGGGCCCGGGGCGGACCGCCCCTTCCGCCCCCTTAGTAGTGTGATTACGGTGAGATATAATTTATATGGTTTTCTAACAAATTGCTCGTTATTTTATGGCAAATGCTGAATCTCTGCAAACCTTAATCAAGCCTTAATTAAAGCACGGGTGTTTGGAATTTTTGGTGTGGCTTAACACGACAGGATAGGGCTAAACCTTAGGCAGATTTCTGAAATATAATATATATTTCCTTCGCCCGCACACCCGCTTTACCCGACCTCTGAGAGCAACCCGAAAGTACAGCGTAATAACTGTGGTAATAGACTCTTAAGGAAAAACGGCCTCATAGTAGCTTTTGATATGAAGGTATATTATAGTTTTCGTCGTATTATCTAGACTTCATCTATTAGAATTGACATAAACTCTTCTTAAAAATAATTTTCAAATATTATATCTTTACTTTTTTATGTTAAAGCACTTATTATTTTTCAACCAATGACAAAACGGGTCAACCTTGACAAAATTGATATCTTCGATCGGCATTTAATTAATGCCGACCTTGATGGCGTTTATTTCGATCATTTTTTATTAATTTTTATCTTTATGAAGTTGTCTCTGGTTATAGGTATTTTTTTTTAAACTTTACCTGTAAATCTTCTCTATTTCATCCGCATCATATACAAACAATAAATCCGGCCTTCCAACAAGACCAGATAACTTGACTATTTTTCCATATTCTTTATAGAATAACTCTGATAATTTCGCTACATCAGACACATCGTATTGTCCAATGACTGGCAGTAGCCTCCAGGTATTGCCCAGAATTGGTATAGGTCTTGGACCAGGGACTTCCGCATAAGGTTTTGCATGTCCAAAAGACTCTTCAGCGTTGATTGGGCACACAACACTGATATCTGATCGTTGTCTACTTAGTTTCGGTGAAAATTTTAACGATTTTTTCAAAATTCTTACGCTCGACATTGTTATTCTTCACTGGAAACTACCGAAATACAATTACTGCTGTTTAAGGCACGGTACAGAAAGTACTTGATATTGCTAATGCTATAAACTTGACTGAAATACCATCGATGGGTAAAGAAACTTAATGCCAGGGTCTTCGTTTTTGAAGCGACTTTCTCTGCGCGCTCGAGGTCGCAGAATATTTTTGTGTATTATTGATATTAATTTTTTTATAATAAACTATGTGTATAACAGATTAATTTATGGTTTTGTACCTGTATAATACTTTTTAGGAAGTTGTGTATTTAGTCTTTTTATATCATACGTTTATTTTGAATTTAAAATTTAAACGTAAATACAGAACGTAAACTGTAAACGTAAATATTTGTGAGCGCCACATCTCGGCGAGTAGCTCAACTATAATTTCCCTATATATTTATTTTTGTCAAGAAATCTGAATAGTCGGCTTGTACGCTGGCGCCATCATAACGAATTTCTCGAACTAATTGACGTTTGATTCATTTCACGCACGGATCTGTTCTTGTGATACTACTTCCGAATCACGTTACAATATTTGCGAATCTAAAAGTGTGGGTTAGAACGAGAAAGAAATACATATCTTTGTCGAAAGATACAACTGATAACCGGTTACATTTCAGTTATGAATAAAGATTAGGAGAATTGAATGGATCAAGACGAAAAAGAACAGTGAGTTTAGGAATTCAATGAATTCCCTGATTTACAAATATTTTGTTGGGTGTGTTATGTGCAAATTTTACACGAGGACAGTTTGCGAGATTCGTATATTGCTGGAACAGTGAATCGCCATAAAGAAACGCTAGATTTGTAACAGGACAATCTGCCTATAGTGGGACTAATTATACAGTTTTTTAGTCTAGGAATTTTCATTCGCCAGGTAAGCAGAGTTTAGCGATGACGTTATTTTATCAACAAAACTACTATTTAAATAAATAAGGGGCTGTGTAAACAATTTGATAACACTTATCACTACATTAATTTAAACCTTAAAGTTAGCTAATTAACCTCAACACCTCTTTATTATCTTTCTGATCTTTCAGTCACATACCTTTACAAGTATGTTATAAAAAATAATATTCACCTGTAGATGTGTTAATTCCCTTTAATAAATTGATATAGTTGGTTTTTATGGTCAAAATTTGAATATTGTTTTTCATAAAACAATATAGACAATATTTAATAGTAAAAACCTAAAAAGTTTAGTTCAAGGATACAATTTATTGTTGCAAAAATAATACAATTATTTTACATGTATTTGGCATGTGTACATTCTTGTTTTTTTTTTAGTCAATATTAATAGGTCTATTCTTGTAGGTAGGTATACACCTATTTGAATAGAATAGAATAAGAAATAAAATCCCTTTAAATCAGTAGTTTATATTGATATACAAAATACTATTTTTAAAAAAATTGTGATAAAATCCATAAACTTTTAACTCTATAGGTTTATTATTTTAATCCTATAGAGACAGAGTTTTTATTTTGTCTTATCTTTAGTTATTATAAAAGAGACATACTTGAAATTTACTATCAGATACGATATATGGATAGTTTATTTTTTATATCTTTTAGTATAGTTTTCATTATTATTTTAGTATGTTTTATAGTTACTATTGGAGATTGGGGATGCCTAAGGGTTTCTCTAAGCTTTTTAACACTTGACTCTTACAAAAAAAAAGCAGAAAAGATACAGAAAGGGTGAAAACTACCCCCACCCTTACATAAATGCTATATAGTAGAAATATTTTCCTACTCAATCGACGGCTATTTTTTTTTTCGTGAAGTGGTACTTCTAGTATTTACTACATTTTTGTCTCTTGTAGAAAAGCGCCACCTCGCATACTTTTTGACTTTACCTCCTCGCATACGTTGAGACTTGCAAAAAATATTTTATCCTACATCAAGCTATGTAGTAGGCGCATAAAATCTAGTAGGTATGCGCTAATAATCTATAGTTCATATCAAATAAACTTTTAGTCACGTGATTAAGCTTTGCCGGCACAGCGTTGCCCACTTTTTCATATTTTCTTTTAATCAAAATATTTTACAAAACAAAAATAACTTAATTATAAATACTTATATAAACAGTTATTATTTACATCAACAAAACTCACTTTCTTAACAGGACTTAAGGGACACAAAGTGCTATTACTACCGCTTTCCCGTTCAAAATATTCTAATAAAGTTGCGATGAGTTTTTTACGGCTATTAAGCTATCTTGTACACTTCGCACTAAAAGAGGTTCTAAAAAAGAACAATGATTGACTGCTAGTTAAAAATTTTAAGCTTAAAGTATCACAACACAATTCATTTAAACCAAAAACTCGTAATACAAAACTAAAGTGTCCAAACGAATGACAATGTCAGGAAATAAATAAATAAATGTGGCAGCTTGACATTTTTCACAGCAGAGCGATCACCTGAATCCCCAGCGCGAAATTTAAATTCCAGTTAGTCAGCCCGGCGCCGAATATGTTCATAGTTGGCAACAATAAATTTAAAAATCGCGCCCTCGATTACGTAACTAAAAGTTTAATTGGTATCGAATATAGTTATGGACAAACGAAGCACTTTTGTATAGAGGTAAAATTGTGTCCAATGATCATATATTTTGATTCTAAAGATACATAGTAGGCCTATGGCCACGGCATATTGGGACACCCTTATATTGTGGATTCTGGGTCATTCCGAGAGAAAAATACTGGGAAAATATTATTTAATGATAAAAGCGGTATTTTTGACAGGATTGGAGGTGATGATATATCACGGATTTAAGTTGTTTTAGTAGGTATTAAAGTACAGATTATTATCTCTCTCTATTCTTGTGGGATTTATTTTTATTCTGATAAGCACAATAATTATAACATACCTTAATATAAACAGCATTTTTCTATATTTTTATGTAAGATTGTTTTATTATAAATACTTAATTATTTAATAAAATATTTAATGTTACATTCTCTTCTGGAATTAAGTTTTTACATTAGTCGAGTAGCATATTATAATTAAAGCTTTTTTTATACTTGCATAACTGCATAAACTGCAAATTGTTTACATAATTTTATTTATTTTTATGTATTTACATTTTACATACGTACCAGTTTTAGAGTGAAATTGAAATGAAAGTTACTTTCGAAGAAAAATGGTTAAGTAGTCACTATGAATAGCCACTCCTAGTGTATATGACACCATTTTTGATCAGTCGAAAAATAATTTCAAAAAAAATTAAAATCTGTATGGATGTAAAAAATGTTAACGGTTTTTTTATTTTAGACATATAATAACGTATGATCGATGATGACATCCCCTATACATATAATTTTACAAAAATAATGACAGCGATCTTTATTTCCAAGCTATCTCTGACGCCGTTTTTTTCGATATTTTGGTATTTAGGAATATGCAACAAGTGCTCTTTTAAATGATGTGCAGTAGGTATATTTTTAAAAAAAAATGATATTGACTTTGAGAATCATTTTGTGTTTTGCAAAAATGTCATTTGTGATATGAATTTACTTTCAATTTCGCTTTCAATTAAAAATAGTGATAATTCAATATCTTATAATTTTATGATGGCTTTAAAAGTGTCGAAAATTTATACTAAAAACAGTTTAATGTATTTCAAAAATTCACTTGGTATTTAATATTTAATATGACATGGTATTTTTGTATTAGGAATAAGTTTGAGAAAAATTTATATGGCATTTACATAGTAAAAAAAATTGTGTGTGTCCTATGTGCGCATATTTGAAGTGAAACTTCTTACTTCCGTCTGTCTGTCTGTCCGTCCGGATTCCATTCTGGTACCTCTATCCACGTGCCTAGTTTGGTTCCAATCCACCCATAATTAAGAAACATTTTGTCGATTTCGTCCATTTAAAGGCTCGATCGGTTTGAAACCCCAAGAGCGTCATCCTGTAGCCCGTTCCCAATTATGCCGAAATTGACACACATTTTTCCTTCAATATTAAATTCTTAGTCCCACCCTGATGAAGATGTAAATGCAACGTTGTATCCGACTTTGTCTAGTGGGACCGTGTTCACCGTCGCCCACATAGCCTACCCATCAAATTTAGTCGCGATCGGACGACATCAATTTTTGACGTCTCTTACGTCAAAATTGTCACAGTGACACGTGTCGTACACAGTCAAGTTGACCTTGGTCCAATATATCGGCATACCAAATTTCATTTAAACCGGACGATTTTCTCTAAGCCGCGTAAAGAAGTTTCACTTCACTAAAAGTAATATAAACCAAATATAAACATAATATTTGAAGCATTCACAGTAATTGTAAAGTTTGACAATTTATATATCAGTGTCTTGAGATTGACTGCTTATTGTGGTATCGTACAATTCTTATTTTATTTTGCTGTCTTTGACGGTTTTTTTTTTCTATTATTCTGTATATTACTGTTTTAAAAATAGCTTCTATGACAGATTCAATTAATCCCTATAATAGATATATAAAAGACATTTAATAGTTCTTGAGATATGTGCATACGTTCTCCGCAATTGAAATTGCGGTCAGTACTAGTAAAGTAAAAGAACTTTGATATGGATGGTAAAAATCGATACATCTAACTATTGGTAATATAAGCAAAATGATACGTCGATACTCCCAAATTCTGAATAGAATAGAATTCGCCATATAATTTTTCATAAAACAGGATAGGGATCTTTAAAATTCATTTAAAAATCAAAAGTTGTAGTTATTTCCGGTGTAACAGGAAGTAACCAAAAACAATTGAATATCTCAATCAATCTTATTTTATGTCATATACTAACAAATCAAATCTCGTTTTTTTTATTTGAAAAAATAAAAAAGTTATAGGGGGTGAGCCACTTTTGGTTTGGTTGTGAATTTGCATGGGATTTCCTATTCCTTTCTAGCTCAGGTTCGTTCATATAAGCAACTAAATTTAAGATTTTTGCTGGTGGAGAGCAAATGTAAGACCAAGAGCAAGACTTCCTTGGTCTTGGTCTTTGTCTTGCAGTTATAGTCTTGTCTTGTTGTCTTGATTTTGATCTTACTGCTAAACTATTGCAAGTCTTGTATTTTTTATTAGATTTTTACTAGAGGCACTTTCTACATATCTTTAAGCATCTTTAAGAAAGAAATTATTAGAATATTTGACAGACGAAAGTTTTTTTATTTTTCAATATCGATATACAGGGTTCGGAAATAGTGCGTCGGGCATCTGTAGCTCCTAGAATAAAAAAAAACTTGAGAATTTTGTTTAAGTGCAAACCTAAAGTATGTACGAGGAAGTATTTCAGGAAAATATTTTAACTTTTTCAGGACGGTTCAAAAAAGTGGATCTGGATGATTTTTTTTAATGGAACACCCTGTATATTATTTTTTATTAGATGGAGCGTTAAAAAATTACAATTTTTTGTATTTAAATTATTTCAAAATTTTTAATGGTTTCGTAGATAAAGGCAGTATTATTTCATATGGCTTTCAACGGTAAAATACGAGAGAGGAAAATCATTGGATGGCTTTGATAAAAATTTACTGTGGAAAATAATAAAACCGCCAATCTTCTAAACCGTTAAAAATGTTGAAATACCCTAAATACAAAAAATGTTCATTTTTTAATTCTCCATCTATTGAAAAAATAATATACCTACATGGTGTTCCATTAAAAAAATGAAGAAAAATTTTATATCTTAGAAAAAGATTTTATATCTTAGATTTTATATCTTAGAAAGTTTGGCGTAGAATTTTGAACATCCTGTATGATTTACGATTACCATATTTATAGCAAAGTACAGACCATGTAAAGTAAATATCTAGAATAGTTTTGACTTCAGAACAGTAGTTCTTGTATTTTTAATATTTTTTTTAAGAAAGGCTGAAAAATATATATTTTA